TGTTTGCACTTTCATTTACATTTCTTTTTCTTTTTTTTTTCTTCATTCACTTGGCGGGGGTTCCAACTGCAGTCTTTTGCACGGTCGACCCTTATTAGTCGAGCAAGAGCAATTTTTGTACATCTAGCGCTCGCGAGAGTACTTCTTTTAACACCTTTTCCTCAACTCGTGTGGAGGGTCGGAAGCTCTATCCGTGCCCTTAAAAACACATCCTCAAGTAGGCAAACCGTTCAACGGGTGAAAATTTTACTTTTACTAGAGACAGCTTAGCTTCACCTTGTAGGAGTACCCCACTAAGGATCACTAAAATCTCTTCCAAAACCCGATTTTGTGCAATGAACGGTGCCACACACGTTGGGCTTACCCCATGTTTAAGATTTCAATGATTTCGACATGGAGGACCAACTGCTTCCCATTTTCCATATGAGCACCCTGTTCGATACACGAGTCCATAACACAATCCAAACAGAGTCACCATTACCACATGAATTCAACGGTCTTAGCTCCACTACTTCACAAAATCAACTGGCACAACAGAGAGCTAGATAGGAAAAATCTTATACTTCAACATCCTCCATAGATCTACACTACCTCCCTAGGTTGCACATTACTATAGAGAAGTCGATTCAAAGCATACTGAGCATGCAATTTGCAAGGAAACACGTACTTGGAGCCCTCAAATTTAAAAATTTGGACAGTGGACTAGGCTCCAAGCACACAAACAACCAAACATTCACCCGCATACATAATCGAACACCCCCCCCACTCTTAAGCACGAAATTGTCCTCAATGGAGGAAAGATAAGGAGGGTAGAACGAAGTTACCAGATCAAGGGTGAATGATGATGGACAGGTCAGGCGGTGCATTCCAGGAAGAGAGAGTAATCAGAACGCAAACACCACACCAAATCTCACAAAGGTTGAGTTATTGACTCTAAAATCAAATAACAAAACTGACTCAACCGAGGAGAAATAGAGAAAGAAATGCAAACCGACTGGTTGGGTTGCCTCCCAACAAGCGCTTCTTTCACGTCGTGAGCAACACGATGGATCCTAAGTTTCGGTCCATGCTAGAACCTCCTTGAAGTTGTGGTTCTCGTCAATGAGGTGGAGTCGCAAGTCACGAGCATGTGGTATGACTGGTGATGGAAGCTCGTGCACTTGATGCAGATGAAGTCTCCATCCTCGAGACCTCTTCTTCTCTTCTCTCGTGTCATTGCCCCAAACCATATATGACAACATCGATTGACCACCATCGCGTCCACCAAGAGGGACCAATGTCAATGTGGCCTTGGTCTGGCAAAGAGACACTGCAAATGGGTCCTTGCTAAGTAGTTCCTCGAACTTTGGTGGGTATATTACTTGCATTATAGGGACGGTGCAAGCCTCTTCCACCTCAACTTCATCCTCAGCTTGGACACCAATTGCTTCTTCAACCTCCCTTTCTTCTTCATGTGGTATCACCCCTGGGAAATGATCAAGAACTCCTTCAACTTCACTTTTGTCATCCTCCACAACTTCTTTCTGCACCCTTTCTTGCTCTTCTTCTTCTAGCACGGATTGGAGAGCAAGCTGCCAAGCAATTTCTTTCATGAGATCTTCTTGCATCTCCTCACTCATGTCCGCCTCTTCAAAGCTCGGTTTGGGATGTGGGAAGGTGTGGTCGGCTATGACAGGACATTTCTGATCATGATCATCACGGGAGCTCTCCGTGACAACTTTAGTGTGCTCCACAATGTCATTGTAGCCTTCTTATTCCTCCTCCTCTTCTAGTATGGTAGCAGAAGGGTGATCGGGAGCAGGTTGTGCACAAGATAACTCAAGATCATCGACGCTCTTCTTAAGGCTCAGGAGGATCTCCTCTGTTTCACGATAGGCCTGGACACAATGATCCATCCTGGAGCATGTTCTCTCACTGTCTCGAGCAAACTGTTCCATGAGAAGCCTCAATTCATAGTTTGGATCTGGCTGTGGAGTGTAGCATGGCTCTGCAGAATGGCCCGTGAAGGCTGCCATGGGTAACTCCAGCGCCGATGGCCCTTCTGGTTGTGGGAGGGATTCTTCTTGGTAATGAGGTTATTCTTGATATGCCCAGGGGTCCGGTTGTTCTCCGTAGTAAGGGGGTTGGTATTGGAACCCGAATTCATAGCCTTCTCCTCCTTGATTGGTCCAGGGACTCTCGGGGTAATACCACTCGGGTGGTGGTGGATACCCCCAATTGTTGGAGAAGCCATGAGGATCCATGATACAGATTTGCACCCACAAAAACAAAAACACCCAAGTGAAAAGCAAGGGTGGGAAAGAAAAGAAAAACGCTAAATTAACAAACTTCTGCCTTTCCTAATAATCTAGAAAGTCCCCGGCAACGGCGCCAAAAACTTGACACGCTAAAACACAACACCTAACAATGGCCAAGTGTAACCAATGAAAGGGACTGCAGTATAGTGGCACAAGTAATAAATATCGAATCCACAAGTCTCTAGAGTTACTATTACTCAGCTTCAGTTCATTATCAAGCAAACTAGATTAAGGATTGATTTATAAACTACTCTACTGACTACTCTACTAATTACAAGTTGTGAAATCACTTAGGTATGATTCCCCCTAGCTCCTCAATTAGGTCCAAGTTGCAATTACCTTTGGTTGATCTACTGTTGATTAAACTGCGGAAGATCCGACAGTAGCTTGGAATCTCTTAAGCTGACCAAGCCCTCTCATTCCAACTACCCGGCAGGCGACTAACCTTCATCGGGATATAAAGCTGAGGCTATGAACACAGAACTCCACTGCCGGAATTGGGTTCGAGTACAAAGCAGTAGATTGGCTAACTCTCGTATAACCAATTCACCACCATCAATCAAGGAAGCTCTCTTAACCTAATCAGATTCTATCTATCACAGGTTAAAGCAGAAATCAAGAGAATTTGATCAAGATTCAATTGACTCAATAAATCATGCCTCAATCGATTATAATCAAACAATATAGCATCCAAAACTTCATACAAGAAAGATCCTAACACATGGAACTAGGGTTCCTCAAAACCTAAGTGAAGGGAAGTTACTCCATAGAGAAGAGAGAGACTGCAGAAATCTGATCTAGATCTTCAATCTCCATCTCCAAGCTTGATTCCCGAGCTCCAATGGCGAAGAAATCCTCCAAAATAGCTCCAAGAATGTTCCCAAGTCGCTCTCTCTCTCTCTCTAAGGTTCGTCCCTTGGGTGTTTGGGAACCAAAAACCCAGCTCTCCCCTTTCCTTTGGCTGAAAATCGAGTTTTAAACAGAAATTCTCGATCATGCGGCCAGGCCACACGGCCGTGTGGCTTTCCCAGCTGCCCGTGTGAAGGCTCGGTGATTTCCACATGGCCACGACCCACACGGCCGTGTGGAGTTCCAGGATGCCCGTGTGGCTTGCTCGGCCTCTGTTTAATGCTTCGTTTCTCCCTCGTCCGGACTCCGAATCAGTCCCCGTTTGATACCAGACGCTCGTAGTCTCGTCCTCTTTCTTTTCATGACAAGCTTGCATGATTCTTTGTCCATAAAGTGAGGTATAAATCCATTCTTATTCTGGTCATGCCCGAGTTTCTTCTCCCGAATCGTCAATTGATCTCTGATTGATTTGAAACTTGCGCCTATGCTTCACTTTATGTGGTAGGACCTGAGATGTGACAAAGGAACACAACCTAGCATAAAATAGGACAAAGACGCAATAATTCAAGCTCAAACAATCAAGAAACAAAGGGGGAAACATGTGCAAATACCGAGTCATCACTTGGCTATACCTTTCTTCTCTTTGTTTCTTTTGGTGAACATGTTCTTTTAGATACAATTGGACAGATGCTTTTATTATTGGACAAATGCTTTTGTTTGACAATAAGATCATTTGATGAATAATTTATTGTGGTTTTTTTATAAAGTTTTTGGACCCCACTATTACATTTTGCTGGCTACGCCAATGGCGACCGGGCAATCGAGAAACAAGTGTTCCATTGTTTCTGATTCAACCCAACAAACCGGGCACCTAGGTAAAACATGAACTTCTCTCTCAATTAAGGCCTCCATGGTTGGCAGGACGCGGTTAAATATTTGCCAGACAAATACCTTCAGTTTAGGTGGAATATTAGCCTCTCATAACCGAATCCAGTTGGGCTTATCCATCCACACTACAAGAAAACCTGGTTATAGAGACAAAGATTATTTGCGTTTAAAAGCCATTTATTTGTCTCTGTATATCTTTTGAAATATATACGTTATTTGCATCGGACGTCTCTGTCTCTAATTTCATTTAGAAACAAATATTGATGCAAATAATATTCGCTTCTGATTAATGAATTTGAAGCAAATTAAATTGATTATAATACCATTTTAAGAAGCTAACGTTTCTCTTCTTATTTGTTATAGAGACAAATATTTTTGTTTGTAATATCAGTTTTTGAGTCAATTGTATTTATTTCTAAAAGACTTTATGGAGGTACAATATTTGCTTCTAATGAGTATTTTGTTTCAAATAAATTAGCTTATATTTCAATATATAGGTTTTTATTTTGTTTTAATTTTTAGCTTTGAGGTGAGGAATAATTTTTGTATCACATATATTTGTTTCGGTATAGGTGGTAGAGGGACACACCATTCAATTTTTATAAAGATTAAAATAATATTATTAAATAAGATTTCTCAATATATTTACTCTTAAAAATAAAATGCATGAATACATCAGGGGGTCGTTTGGATTAGAGATTTTGATAATGAGGGATTTTAATTAAAATCTCTCTTTTAAAATACCTGGAAATTTGTATGTGGGATTTGATCAAAATAACTCGTTTGGATTGAAATGCATAATTTTAACCTTAAAACTCAATTTACAATATTCTCCTTTGTCTTCTTCGTTATTCTACCTCATTCACTCAATCAAACAAATTACAGACTAGAGCAATGGTTCCTTCTTCTACACCTACTATTCACAGCAATCATCTGTTCTTCCCCTGCTTCTACAACAACTAATCACAACAAAAGCTGCTTTTCTTTTATGCTTCCATCACAACCCAAAATCTCACAACTGTGCAGAGTAAAGAAAGAAGATAAAAACCCCAGAATCAAAGATAAATAAAAACCCCAAAATCACAAACCCAAAATCTCACTCCCTTCCAATTCCAACCGATTGGGTTTGCACTTTGCAGAACAAAGAAAGAATTGCTAATCAATTGAAACCCAAATTGGGTGATTCCCCCTTCTCTCTCCCATCAGACCCCCTTCCCTTCCCCAAGAATCCATTTGAACCCGCCAATTTCCCAGCTTCTTCTCGATTCTTAACCATGCATATGCGAACAGCATATCGGAGTCGGCGTGGCGGGTGTCTCCGGCGCGACTAGTGAACCCTGAACCAAGGGAGAGCTTCTCCGCCATAGAGAAGTTGTCGATGGGTTGTTCTTAGGGTTCATGTACGACGGTGAAGGCGATCTGGGAGGAAACAGTTAAGCGTAATAGATTGAATCCAGATTCCAGATCTGCCGCCGAGGAGGATGGAAGACTACCAAGCTGATCCTCCATCTCCCACATTGGTATTGCCGCTATCGTTGTCAAGTGAAACGACATTTCCTCCGAGCCACCATTGTACCTGCATCATGTCATCGCCGGCCACTTAAAGGTTGCCGCTCCCTCGCCGATATCTGAACACCATCGCCAACCATTTGAGAATCCAAACCATAGGCCATAGCTTATAAAAAGGTCAAATCAGGATATATGGACAAATGTAAATACAACTTGCTAGTAATTCATTAGCTACCTTTAGCTAAATTTCTAGCGTTGGCGACTGATGTGCAACCGATTAGAAATCCACCTATATAGACAAACCATTCAGTTAAGAAAACAAGCTATTTCTAGGATTTTTAAAATTCCTGGGCGGCGTTTGATGAGTGTGGCGGCGATGTAAAATAACAAATAGGATTTGCAACAAATGAAGAACTAGAACTCACCCCAATACTTTTGTGAATAGAAATTAGAAGTCGTATGTTGCCTAAAAAACTTCTCAACAATACTCCTCCAGCCCTCTGTAACTAGTAGCACTGCAAAAGAAGTAGATACGATTTTTGTGATGACGGTGGAAATACAAGAACCTGAAGTTGGAGATGGAGGCAAATATAGAAGGCTACAAGAGAGACGGTGGAGATGAAGATGGAGTGATTAGGGTTTTAGGAAACGAAAAGAATTAAAACAATAATAACTTAATTAACCGCTGAGAGGAAAATCAGGAACCCACTAACGAAAACTTTAATTTAAAATATTGTTTCCAATTAAAAAATATTTCTCGTAATCTTTTGAAATAATGTAGCAAATTAGGATACATAGTGCGAGGATAATATATTTTTTTTCTTATTTCATTTAAGTAATTAGAAAGCATTATAAAATGGAAGTAGATAAAATAACATAATGAAGCAAATATATTTATGCCTCAAAAAGCTAGAAAATATTATGAAATAGAGACAAATACAATGATATATTGAAGCAAACAAATTTATGCTTAAAAAGATTAGAAAATATTACGAAACAGAGGCAAATGCAATGACATATTGAAGCAAATAATATTTTTGCTTCAAAAGTTTATTTAGAGGAACTAATACCATAATTGTTTCTAAATATTTGTCTCTATAACTAAGTTTTCTTGTAGTGCAGCTAGCCCTTGCACGCCAACGACCATTGCGTTTATCAAGCAAGACAGCTAAATGGTAGGCTGATTTAACCGAATAGACCTTGTCACCCGTAGCATGCCAAATTAACCTATCTTCGACATTTTGACGAGGTAGAGGAATAGCTTTGATGGCACGACAGGTCGACGGGTCAAACCACTGACTAAGTTTGAGGTCACACTAGCGACCTTCCCCTTGACAGATGACCTCCACAACTGATGGGTCACCACCCTCCGGTAGCACCTGGGGGTTATACACCAAGGGACTGGGATGTAACTTGGGGACCCAGTTGGAATGAAGAAGAGACGCAAGTCTAGGAACTTTTTGTATCGATGTCTCGGGACAAGCAACGGCATTCGAAGAACTGGAGAAAAGTTTATTTTTTTGGGGTGTTACCCACGTTGACCGGAATGGATCGGATAGAGTACCCATGAGTTTGGGTTTTGTTATCATCCCTACTTCCAATAGATAAATAATAATAAAAAAGAACACCCATTTTTAATTTTTATTCATCACAGATTGAACCGAAATTTTTTTGGGTAATTAGCATAAATGGTCACAAATCTTTGCACTTAGTACAAAACAGTCACAAACCTTTAAATTGTAACCATTTGATAACAAAATTTTTTTACTTAGAACAAAACGGTCACAAATTAAACAGTGTGACCATTTCATACCGGTTCAAACTTTTGTTACCGTTTCGTTGCAAATTAGACTTTTGGTGACCATTTTGTACAAATTAAGTTCAAAAGTTTTGTTAATGTATGTTAATGATATTATGTTGTTTAGGATGACAATGAGAGAATTCAATGGCTCACAAACGGGTTCCAGACTGCTTTTTAGTTGAAAAAACTATGTCTACTTTCTTACTTTATTGGTATCGAAATTGAAAGGTCAACTGAGGGCATTCTTATTCGGCAAAACAAATATGTCGATGAACACGTGACCTAACATCTTATATGTCATTCAAGTGGTTAGTGTCATATACTTAACGAACAAACTACCCGACCTCAAAACATGACGAACATTTAATTTGTAACGATTCAGTAACAAACCTTTGCTCTTAAAACAAAACGGTCATAAATTAAATAGCGGTGACCATTTTATACAATTTTAAAGTTTTGTTACCGTATTGATACAAATTAAAGGTTTGTGACCATTTTGTACTAAGTACAAAGGTTTGTTACCATTTATGCTAATTACCCCCGAAATTCAAGTGTTGCGATTCAATTCTTATTAAAAAAGCAAAACTAGCCTTGAGAGAACAATCTCGAGTTTAGAGCAAGTCTAGGAACTTTTTGCATCGGTGTCTCGGTACAAGCAACGGCAGTCGAAGAGCTATGGCAAAGTTTATTTTTTTTTGGACAGATTGATTTGTTCGAGTACCGCGCTTGCTATTGATTGGACGAATATACTTACCGGGCTTGCATGCGGATGAAGTACCACTCGTAGCTCCTCCAAGAAATGATTACTTACTGCACAATCAATTCCCATTTCCAGTGACTGTCTGTCTACCTTCTCCAATCACTTAGTTGATTATTTATATGTATCATAGCTAGGGAATAAAGGTTTGCAAGCGTCGGCCGACCCGCAGAGACAGGCGAAGAACTGCACTATTATTGATTACTGCATGCTACAAGTAATTAGCAGTTATCAGAAGAATGCGTTTCCTCAAGTTTCTATTGGAGTACTGCTTTCCCGCTTTTGCCAACCGCAGCAAGTATAATCTCTACGCACCTTTATCTCTCTCCTCCAACCAAAGCTAGCTTCAGGGCTCTCTAGCCTTGATTTTTACCGCTAATTATGATGAATTATGGGGTGTTATTTGAACTTGAAGTGATAGCGGCTTAGTACTAATTATTTGCTGTTGAAGCTCATCTAAACTAGTTTAAGTGCATGTGTTGTTATTTCGTTATTATCACTTGGTGATAGAGAATTTGATGGCACATTTGTCTGTCTCGATATGTATATATGTATGGAGTTGATCTGGAAATATCTGTGTTATCATCTTCTATGTGTATTTTTGTATCAGTTTTCCCATCTGAAATACTATGATAATAAGAAGGAAAAAAAAAAACAGTAGACAAAGTTCTTTGACAATAAAGGGGAAGAAGTAAGATGAGGCCATCCATGAGAAAAAAGTGTCTAAAAAATACTATCACTTTGATTATTATTCTATTCTAACTCGAACTTTGCATCATAAAGTTATTTTGGCCTAAACTTTACAATTAATAAGATACTTTTAATTAAATTTTGAGGATAAAAGAACAAATTTGACCCGAATCTTGGAACCATTATATTTTATCAATGACTCAACCTTTGGTGTTCTTTGGCTATTACATGACCACCAGGCAGACGTGTAACCTTTTGTCAAAACAATTTCATGAAAACAATTTGAAACCTGAAAATGAAACAAAAAATGAAGTCAAATGGACATTTGATCAATTTTCAATCAAAATTCCTAACTTTTTTTTCTCTCTATTTAACGCTTGTCGACAAATTGTGGCCCAAGCTCTGCATTCCTTCCAACTATCTCCATCTCTTAGCTATCTTTTTCACAATCAGTGGATGATGGCGGAGGCCATAGTTCCCGCCTTCGCCATCAATTTTGATTCACCTAACTCCTGATGGTTCAAACTCCACCGATCAGAAAGATGTTGTGCCAGCCATTTTTGTTGTTCAACTTGGCATCTACTCCTACTTTCCTTTCTCCATTTGGTTGTCTCAGTCAGAACATCTAAACCTTTTTCTTCTTCTCCAATGGTACCATCACCTCTTAAGAAAAGAGACGAAGCTCATAATTTGGGACAGATGAGAGCTCTTAGGAATAGCAGCACGTCATGTTTGGTTCGGATAGTACCAAATTCGCACCTTGTCCTACCGTAAAATTCGTAATTCGTTCTGATCCGTGCCTTGCAACGAATCGTAAATATCTGCCCCATGCTTTTGCTCTGCATGGGTAGATAAAATCCATTATGTCCCATCTTCGACCATCCTCTCATAAAATAGAAACTTCAAAGGCATTAAGTTTCTAAAATAAATTCTTAATGGGCTTCAAAACCCAAATTACTCATAAGTAGAAAAAACTTCATGGCCTGTTCGTGTCCCGGTAAGATTTTATCCGCCCCATGTTACGAATCAGAGCGGGAAATATGTCAAAGTGGATCTAGATTGTCATCAGGTCCCTAAGGGCTCGTTTGCTTGTTGGATTTGAAAATGAGGGTTTTGAATTTTCAAAACCTTTGAATTTATGATGGATTTGTTGCATTATGGATTTGGAAGAGTATATTGTTTGTATAGTTTATTTTTGTTATAGATTCATGATGGATTTGTTCACATTTTGCCTTCCATTATCAAATCCCAAATGAAATGTGGGATTTGCAAATCCGTGGGGTCCACAGATTTGGATCTAAAAAATGGGTTCAAATCTATGGGCCCCACGGATTTGTGTCCCTTAGCAAACAATGGACTTGTGCCAATTCCATTATGATTGGGATTTGGGTACCAAATCCATCACCCAAATCCCACAAGCAAACAGTACCTAATTCTATCACCTCATATGCTTGTGGTTATGGAATACAACAATGCAACTTATCCATTATTAGATGGTTTGTTGGATATCCTAACCGATTCCATCTCCACCACTTGTTTTTTTGTTTAATTTATGTGTAGAATTTTGTAGATAACTCTACAATTAGCTTCATTTTTTTATAATGCCCTGAAATTCTTTGTCAGATTCTTCGTAACAATAATAGGGTAGCACATTTGATTGCTCGTTATGCCCTAATAATCATATCGCCCCATATATTAAAAAGGAGTTCAACTTCGTTTCTTAATTGTGCTTTCACAACGTATGTGTTTCGGTCTGATAATCTACCCCATTTTTTTTATCCATCATAGATTGAACCGAATTCAGGTGTTACAAATTCAATTCGTATGATGTAATATAACTAGCCTTGAGAAAACACTGTACATGGAGTTGAGAGCAAGTCTAGGAACTTGTATCGGTGTCTCGGGACAAGCAACAGCAGTCAGTCGAAGCATCACTTCCACTTTCCATGAGGTTCTCGAGTAGCTCTTCCAAAGAACAAAGTAATTAATTAATGCACAAATATTCAATTCCCATTTCCAGTGACTGTCTGTCTATCTTCTCCAATCACTTACGACGACGTACGGTTGATTTGATTATCTATATATATGCATGTGAAATATAATATAGATTAGGTTTCCAAGCGTCGCGGCCGACCCGATAGAGAGAGGCGATGAGAACTGTTGATTACTTCACGCAACGCAAGCGCAACAAAGTAATTAGCAGATCAGAAGAATATGCGTTTCCTCAAATTTCTATTGGAGTACTGCTTTCCCGCCGCCTTTCCCAACCGCAGCGGGTCTAATTTGTACGCAACATCATCTCTCTCCATCCAAGGCTAGCTTCAGGGCTCTCTTGCTTTGATTTTTTTTTTCTTTTTTTTTTTTTTTTCCATAGCA